AGTGCAATGTTTCTTTTTTATCCTCATGACAGTCTGATATGATAAAAGATATTACTTACCATCCCCATTGTAACTAAGGCTCAAAGAATTTAAATAACTGGGCCAGGGTCACATAGCTAGGAGAGGCAGAGGCCAGATTGGATCCCAGGTATACCATAGTTAACTGATCTTAAATCCCCCCCCAAATCCTGTCCTAGCAGGATTCAGGGACCTTGATACATGAATATCAGGGACCTGTAAACATGGAAGGGGTTGTGTGGGCAAAAGGGCAGCTCCTCAGAGGCCAAGAGGCCTCCCAACCCCACTCACACTCTGTCGCAGGCCCAAAGTCCCCTGAATGAGTGTGTAGGGGTTTATTTCTCTCTCAGGAACACTGATGACGTGTTTCAGGGGAGACCCGTGGGAGCTGTGACTGGGCTGGAAATGGAAATGCATAGCACCCGCCGACAAGCACTCGTGGGGTGTCTGGAGGGAAGAAGCAACTACCAGCAAGTGAGGAGGAGGCCCCCGCAGCAAGGTGACCCAGGGAGCAGAGCCGTCACGTTCCCCTGGCCTGAGGGAAGCAGCCTGTGAGCCGGGGGCAGAAACTTGGGCCTCACCTCCCCCTGGGGCCCTTAGGTTCCTCCTTGGACGCCAAGGCATTCCGTCTGGAAGAGCTTCGAGTTCCTTGCCTGTCAGTCCAGCTGTCCGTCTGAGTCCTGAGGAAGACCCCAGGCATGCAGGTGTTGTGATGCTCCTCGGCTTTGAGGCCCTGGTCACAGACCCACTCCCTCATCCCCTTCCTACACCACAGACCCTCTTAGGGGTTGAATTGCATCCCCTAAAAAGATACATTGAAGTCTTAACCTCCCAGCACCTGTGAATGTGACCTGGAGATAGCGTCTTTGCAGGTGTAACCAAGATGAAGTCATTAGGGTGCGCCCTGATCCAGTACGACGGGTGTCCTCGTAAGAAGAGGAAAAGTCATGTGGAGACAGAGACGCAAAGCTGAGGAATGCCGTGTGACAGAGGCAGAGACCGCACAGCTGTAGGGGAAAACCAAGGACCGCCTGGGGGCACCCAGGCGGAAGAGGCCAGGGAAGATCCTTCTCTTGAGACTTCAGAAGCATGGCCCCGCCAATACCTTGACTGCAGACTTCCTGCTTCCAGAGCTGTGAGTCAATTTCTGTTTAATAAATTTCTGTTGTTTTAGGCCACCACATTTCTAGGGCTTCTGTAGAGCAGCCCTAAGAATCTGTTACAGAACCCCAACCTGCTCAGACGCTCCCGCAGCACCAGCCATTTCTCTGTTCCTCCACGGACCCAACTCCTTCCCACCCTTTTACACGTGATGCTCTGTCAGAAGGTTCTACACCCGGCCTCCTCTCCAACACCCTTGCCTTGCTCCTTCTAAACTCAGCTAAAAAGGCATTTCTTCAGGAAAGCCTAGACTTGGGTATTCCAGGCTCCCCTCAGAACAGCAACAGACGTGTGTTCTCTGAAGCCCTCGCCACATCTGTAGTTAATTCCTGGTGCGGTCGCGTAATGCCCGCTGCCCGTGCCCCTGCTGGGGGTGTCATGACAATGGGGCCTGGCCTGACATATTCACCAGCAATCGTACCCCTCGGCCCTGAGGCAATGCTGGGATTTTTTCTTTTCACGGCATACTCCAAGCATGAAACAAACAATACATGTTCAATCTTGGGAAAAGAAACCCAAGAAAACATAATGAGCAAACACGGAAAAATATGCTAAAAATCACCTACATTCCTTTTATTTATTTTTTTATTAAAGATTTTATTTATTTATTTGAGAGACAGAGAATGAGAGATAGAGAGCACGAGAGGGAAGAGGGTCAGAGGG